CACTTCTTTTTTACAGTAAGCAAGGAAACAGAACAGTGGAGAAGAAGTGAATGTTTGTAGGGGAGTTTGCCTTTCAATTCAGTATCTTGTAATTTCGGTCTTATATTTTCTATTTCGAAAACACTAAGTAGATGAAAACCAAGTTTTCCTACTTTATCACAATTGTTTCCAAGAAGAAAGAGTTTGAAAAAAATAGAAAAAACTTCAAGGATTCTCAAACTAAGGATGCAAATATGATAATTCCACTCTAAAATCTAAAATGAAACATCATTTTCTGACTGTCCCCGTTGTTGAGCACTTAGGGAAAGTGAGAAAGTGGCTTAGTTGGAGCCCGAGGGAAGAAAGCTTGTGTGACCTTGACTTGTACTGTTTTGCCCATGCATGGTGATGCACAGCAGTCCGGACAAACCACACTAGCTAAAGCACTTCTGTAAGCCACCACAACAGAAACAACAGCACCTTGCCTGGAGAGCTCTGAATCACTTTCGGCCGCTCCATACGTGAAGATTCTTCCTTTATTCCACAGGAAAGTTGTCAGTGCTCCTGCTTAAGGGGCCCACTGATCAGCTACATCTGTCCTAGGATGCATGCTAGCAAGAAGTCATCCCACGTCAAAGGGGGATTCCCTCCCTGGCTTGCCCAGAGGAAGAATGCAGCTACAACAGGGAGAAGGCAGCCATCTTGCTGGCAGATCAGGACAGCCAGAGATGCTGCACCTATGACTGCCATCACAGACAGCACAGCCTTGTTTGGGAACCCTCCTCTAACACTGTGTGCCAAGCAATGAGTCGAAGTTGTCAGAAAATTGCTGGACACTCCTAAATCTATTCAGACATGTCCCCCATGCCCCATCAGCCCCCGAGGTGGTCGTTGGCTGGTCAGGAGACTGCTCCCCCCAGGGCTGTGGGATCCAGGCATGCAGCAGTAAGATACGGGCTGGGAAAATGGGTTTGTCTAAATAGAAGAGATCAGAGCAGCCCCATCATACAGTCCAAATAATAAGTGATAGGGTGAGAGGAAATGGCCTCAAGCTGCACCAGGGGAAGTTTAGATTGGGTATTAGGAAAAATTTCTTCACCGAAAGGTTTGTCAAGCATTGGAGCAGGCTGCCCAGGGAGGTGGTTGAGTCAGCATCCCTGGGGGTATTTAAAAGATGTGTAGACGTGGTGCTTAGGGACGTGGTTTAGTGGTAAACTTGGCAGTGTTAGGCTTATGGTTGGACTCGATGATCTTAAAGGTCTTTTCCAACCTGAATGATTCTATGATTCTATGATCAGCCTTGAAAAAAGTGTTATTTATGGGATTATCAGAGCAATGAAGTTGTAATTTAGAATTTACTTTTCCCTAAATCTGTAAGCTTCATCTGTTTCACTTCTATTTTCTGTTTTCACCCCAAAATGGAAGTGAACATGGCAATATTAATGTTTCAGCCTTGCAGAAAACTCCAGTTCCCACAACCCTAGCAGACAGCTCACTGTGAAGACAAAGAAATGTTTAACCCTCAGCAGCATCTCCAGGCATACGGCTACCTGGCACACGTTGGTCCCGCAGAGAGTAGCAAGGCCCATGGCTGCACCGAGCTGGTAGGGCATTAACCACATATCCTGCGGCCCAGTTCCTGCAGGGAATTAATGCACCTTTGTGGCAGGGCATATAAATCTGTACCAGACTCTTGCAGTGGCAAAGCTCCTTGCCTGGAGTGGTTTATGCCCAGGCAATCCCCATACAGAAGGATGTATGTGAGGCTGCTCATATATCTCTGCAGATCTGCCTAAGTGCTCTGTTCTCAGTGCTGGCAAGTTTGCTCTCATTAAGATAACTGATTTAAAGAATATCACCTCTTATAATAGATCAAAGAAGGAAAAGCCAGTGTCCCAGCAGCTAAGGACAGACCTTTCTAGCCTTTAAACACAACCTACATCTTTTAGCACTCTGGAAGAGAACTGACACTGTAGCTGGGATGCGCTTACACAAAACAACTGGAGTTGTACTGTAGCAGACTGCAACTGTCTGACAAAGAAGGCGAAGACCAAGAACAAAACCATAGAAATAGATGGCAGCTCCAACCTGGCCTTATTTTCTTTCGTTCTGCACACCAGCCTCAGAAAAAAGTTATCATATGCCAAACATTACTGAATAACACAGCTCAGCAAGCTTGCAGGAACCAGACAGACTCAAAATAATGTTTTTCATACAAAACACAATGAGGTCATATTTGTCTTTCATCTAGGATAATAAAATTATGCCTTGGCTACATCGAGTGGTTTCATGCTGAAGACATCATTGCTGATCTACATTTTTAAAGTTCACTTTTCATCATGTAGTTCAGGTTGAGAGTAACTCAGTTTGTATGCTTTGCAAAACAATCAGGTAAGACCCAAAACGCCTTTCCTAGCATCTCACCATACTAAAGATAGAGAGATCTTGCACACAGCTACACGCACAATCAACTTCTAATAATGCCGTTCAGCAGAACAGAATAAAATATACAGACCTTTCACATACAAGTTTGTGGAAAAAAATCTTTGCTTCTAATAAAATGAACTTACTGGAGAGATTCTGGTTGTCTTCCGTTGTTTTTTTTTTTTTCCTTAAATAAAATGTATCTTTTAGTTCAATAGAACAGGTTTGTTTGCACTCTTGGCAAAGACTTTCTTCAGCTTCAAAGTTAAATCACACTTTTTAAAAGATGCTGGGATAGATTCTGCAAATGTGCATTCAAGCAGCTGTTATACAAATAAATTGGGCTGCTTCTATTAAGTATCAACTACATGAAGTGGGGGTTGCCTCTTTAAGAGACTTTCAAAGCAAGCTTTGTTGTGTTGCTAAGATCCAGACAAGGAATGCCAGCCCGGACAAGGTTTAAAATGGATTTAAAGCATTTTATCACCAGACACAAGTCCTCAAAGTGACTAAAGGGGGCAGGAAGCACTGGTATTTGAAACTCTTGAATTTTTATTTCCCAGCAGGAGATGAGCACTCATATTGTTCCTCAGTGTTTGGGTGGACAGTGTTTTTATTTCATTTGAACTGAAAAAAAAATATTAACAAAAACAATGCTGCACAATGGAATACAGTATTATTTGGGTAAATAACACTTAGAAGAAAGCCAGTTCATTATTACCGCTTGAGATTGGAGGCCCCAGCTGAGACCAGTGACCTGCTGTGCTGGGATCTGTGTAAATACATGATGAGACACAGTCCTTG